CCCCCCTCCCCTGGCCCCCCGGCAACAAAGGTTGCCGACCCCTGTTTTAAATATTTGATTGGTTCCAGATAGGTTCAAGAAAAACCAATGAACAATAGAACAAAACAACAAAACACAAAATTTAAAATAACAATGAACTAGGACAGACCACAAATAAAAAGCAGCTGACAGATTAAAAAGCTTTTACCTGGCACCAGGCTAATTGTCTTAGGGTGGAAACTTTATTATTTATTTCATAACTGGAGTTCTGCAGCTAAGAAATCCTTCTTGTCCTGATGCCTGTCTTGCCTCTGAAATGGGCCTCAATCCATTTAGGACTTTGAGGGTCTGCATGGCGTAGTGGTTTGACTGTTGGACTATGACTCTGGAGACTAGGGTTCAGTTCCTGGCTTGTCCATGAAACCGACTGGGTGACCTTAGTGAAGTCACATGCTCTCAGTTGCAAGGGAAGGCAATGGCAGATCTCTGAATAAATCTTGCCCAGAAAACTCATGGTAGGTTTGCCTTAAGGGCACCATAAGTCAGAAATGACTTGAAAGCACACAACAACAAGCAAACAACTGGCATTTTAACTTGGCATCACAAGTGAAGAAGCAGTCAGTAAAACTACTGAGATGTTGTGCTTGTCAAAATTGTGACAGCTGTATTCTGATCTAACCAAAACCTCTGAATCATGATGAAAGGTAGCCACACATATACCATATTGCAGTAGTCTATGGAGGAGGTTTCCAGGACATTGGTATTCCTCTGTCCAAGACTGCCTGGACTTGGTGAACCAGAGAAAATGCAGTAAGCATCATAGAAAGAAAATGCAAATTGAATCGATTTCCCCCATCTCTGTATAAGGATTCCTACTATGAGAAAGAGTTTGCCATTAGTACAATGGACCCTTGGTATCCACTGGGGTTTGGTTCCAGGACCCCCCATGGATACCAAAATCTGTAAATGCTCAAATCTCATTAAATGCAATGGCATAGTAAAATGATGTTCCTTATATAAAATGGCAATATCAAGGTTTGCTTTTTGGAATTCATACTTTTAAAAATATTTTCAGTCCATGGATGGTTGAATCTGTGGATAAGGAGGTCCAACTATATAAGATATTTCTGTTTTGTCTTTGTCCTTTTCATTAGAATTTAATCTTATTTAGTGTGTATTGTGCCACAACAGCATTTTCTGTCAGTTTAAAAAAATCTTATTTAAATGTGCTTGGTGAATGTGATAAACTTGGGCAAGAAATATTTGCCTTATCTTTTCCTTCTAAAATCTGAAGCTAATACACATTTGTTTGTCCTGCCCAATAAACAAGTGTTTAATCTGTTTAAAAGCCTCTAGTTAGGCTGCCATGGCAACCAAACAAAAATTGAAACTCAGCTGTCATAGTGACTTGCCTGGCCTGCACTTTACCATTTCAAAGCTTTTGCAAAAAAAAAAAAAAAAAAAAAAAAAAAAAAGGAAAGCAAGTAAGTAAGGAAGAAAGCCTGTGACATGCTATAGGAGTGTGTGAATGATCAGAGAAGACTTTTTTTGGGGGGGGGGGAGTGAGCAGGAACAATCTAGAATGCAGATTGGCTCATGGTCATTCTTGCCTTGTACCTTTACACTGCAATGGCAAAACTAGTTTATATTTTTCCAAACACTTCCTGACTAGTATACTGTGTATAACCTCCCTTCAATGGGAAAGGGATACAAAATCTGAACAAATATAAATTGTAGTTTGCCAGTGTGGTGTAGTGGTTTGACGATGATGCTGAAGGCCAAGGTTTGAAGCCCCGCTTAGCCATGGAAACCCAATGGGTGACCATGGTCAATTCATACTCTCTCAGCCTCAGAGGATGACAATGGCAACCCCTCTCTGAAGATTCTTGTGAAGAAAACCCTGTGACATGTTTGCCTTAGGGTCGCCACAAGTCGAGAACAACTTAAGGCACACAACAGCAACAATAACTACTACTGCTACTACTACTACTACTCTAAGAGTTCCCAAACTTGTTTGAGCCTAGGGGTAACCACTCTTGACAGGAAGGGTGGTTGCCTTTTGAGGCTACAATTTAAAATGAAATTGATTTGTAGTAGATTTCAAGACTAATTTCATAGCAAAGGTTGCCTACAGGCCACTAAATGATTAAACGGGCCCTGGGTAGTGGTAGCGAACCCTTTAGGGACTGAATGCCCAGACTAAAGGGCCTTCAGTGCTGGGGGTGGGACTTCCACTCTCTGGGGGCAGGATTTCTGGGGTGGGACTTCTTCCCTGCACTCTCCTAGGCCTTCAGCTGTCTCACCGGAGAAGCAGCTGAAGGCCCAAGACAGCGGGAAAGGAGGAGGAGGAAAAAGAACACACCTGATCCTCCTCCTCCTCCTCCCACCACCCTCCCAGGCCTTCAACTGCCTCCAGAGAGACAGATGAAGGCCCAGGAGAGAGGCAGTTGAAGCATGGGCGAGTGAGGAGAAGTGGAGGAACAGGCGCATCCTCTTCCCCACCCTCCTGTGCTTTTAACTGTCTCTGGAGAGGCAGTTGTGAAGCGACAGGAGGGGGGAAGAGGAGGAACAGGCATGTGCCTATTATTCCTCTTCCCCCACCCTCCTGCCTCTCCATGTGCCCTCCAAAATGGCTTTGCATGCCAGAGATGGCACGTGTGCAATAGGTTCTCCACCACAGGTATAGGACAATTGATACAATTAGAAGAAGGGGAAAAAACATGGAAAGATAGACTAAAGACATACACTTATAGGCCACATTTGGTTCTACTCTG